CACTCTGTCAGGGGCCCCATTTTTGGTAGTGAATTCCTGAAAATGGCCTTGAGGTAGAAGTAGGCAACCGTGAGCCCCTTTCATTCAACCCGCTTGCCTTCCACCCATCCCCAACCAAAAAAGACCGAGGGCCAGGAATCCTGAAGGCCTTTGAAGGGGAAAATTCGGGGGGACAGGAAGTCAGAGGCGGGAGTCAGGGAGGCAAGAGGAAGTGAGGAATCAGCGCAGAGGAGAGGCAATCCGCCTTTGGGGAGCATCCTCATCAAAAGGGGGCAAGGTGGAACACATCTCCCAGGGTCACGGAATCCCAATCGCTGGAGCCACCGAGGCTGCAGTGTCCCAGAACGATTGCCCTGAGATCATCTTTACACTTTCTTCCATAGACTCAAAGCCTCTTTCGAAGTGGCCTTTAAAGCAAACCACAGTTTAGATTAGCAAAGGGTGCTTGCCCTGAAATGGGGTTCTTTCTGAAACAGAACTCTCCATACGGGATCAAATTGAAAGGCTCGATGGGAGTGGTGGGAAGTGGTGAGTTTATGTGGATGGGGAGGAACCGACCAGGAGATGAGGTTGCCCTACTTGAAGAATGACCCCGGGGCCACGGAATTGCTTACGTAGAAACTGCTGATGGGGTGCGTGTCCGGCGGTGTTCATTTCCAACCACAATAACAACACATTTGGTTTTGTTTTTTACAACGGGGCTGGGGGAGGGGGGGGCAGCACCTGTCCAAATGCCGGAAACCTGTGCAGAGTCAGAAAATCACGCTGGAGGCGGGTCCAGTAGATGGGAACCGGAGTGGCCTCTGGGCCAACAGAACACGGCCCTCCTGCCTGAGAATAAACCAGGGAGGTGAGCGGAGAGATGGGGGCTAACGGCCCTGACCACGATTAAGAAAAAGGGTCTGGGCTGAAAGAGGATCTCAGGATGGAATTTAAAAGCCTTGCTGGTGCTGGGGTATCCGTATTGGGCTGCTAACCGCAAGGTCGGTAGTTCACATTCACCAGTCATCTCCTCAGGGGAGGCTGTCTGCTCCTGGGAAGAGCCGCAGTCTCAGTAACTCATACGCCACATCTCTTTGGGCTTGGAAAAAGAGATGGGATGGGCTTAGACCGTGGTTGCCACAGTGGGTCCCAACGTAAGAGCGAGTATGAGGACGATGCAGGACCAGGCAGTGTTTTGTTCGGCTGCACGTGGGGTCACTGTGAGTCAGAACTGCCTCAATGGCCCCTGACCACCCCCACCCCCCCACGAGGGCCTGGAATGGACTGATGTCAGTGGGAAACGTGGAGGAGAGGAGGGGGCTTGTCATAGCAGAGCTGCTCGCCGGATGCCTTACAGCTAGGGGAATTTATTGCCTCCAGGTTCTGGAGACCAGAAGTACACACTCAGGGTGTCGGCAGGGTCAGACTCACTCCAAAGGCTCTCAGAACTGTGGTTCCTCGTCTCTTCCAGCTTCAGGTGGCTGCAGGCCTTCCTCAGCTCCTGTAGCATTCCCCCACCTCCCAACTTCCCACCCCAACCTCTGCCCCCACCTTGATGGGTAGCATCTTCCTGAGACCCAAACAGGCAGATTCCTGCTGCCTGTCACCACTGAGCAGGGAGGGAGCCTCCTCACAAGTGCTTTATTCAGCTGCCGGTGGTGCTCAGAGCAGGTGCAGGCTCTAATAAGCCACCTTATACTCCACCCAGCCCCCCATCTCAAGTGGGCGGGGCTTATAGTGTGGAGGGGGCATGAGTGGCAATGCTAAGGGGCTGATGTCATCTTCTGTGTCGGGGTGAGGCCCAGCTGTCCCCCACCCCCGAAGTACTCCGTGTTTGTTCTTCCTGCTGATCATAGACCCCACCCCAAGAATGCAGAGGTCTGCTTTAGGGTCCGGATGATCGGCTGAGGTCACCGTGTATCTGAGAACACCCCCTCAAGGGCTTTTTATGAGCCAGCGGACAGTGTGGCTAATGCGCTTCCTCCGTGCCTCTGGTTAATTTTAAGACAAGGCAAGTGAGTGCTGTTAGTCAGGGGACATCCTTGAAGACCCTTCTGCTCCCCCGTGCCCCTTTTATAAGACATCAGTCATATTGGGTAGGACCCACCTGCCCCATTATCTCATCTTATCTGATTATGTCTGCGAAGACCCTGCTTGCAAATGAGGTCGTTTCCACAGGCAGTGGGGCTTAAGGCCCGTGAAGGGTACAATTCTATCTATAAGGAGGAGGATTTCCTTTTTAAAAAAATTATTATTTTTTTTAATCATTTTATTAGGGGCTCATACAACTCTTACACAATCCATACACACATCAATTGTGTAAAGCGCATTTGTACATTCATTGCCCTCATCATTCTCAAAACATTTCCAAGGAGGAGGATTTCCTATAAAGTCAAAAGAAAGGTTACATTCATTTAAAAAACAACCCGAGACACAGCCAGGTTAACATTTCTCTTAACAATGACATCCAATATGTACAGAGATCGATCCCAAGACATTCTGTCAACCAACATTCAGAGCAGCAAAAATCCACATTAAAAAATCAAATCCATAATAAAAATCACCATAAACGGTAAGGAAGAAGTAGATGGCACTTTAAATACCCTTGTCCAATGCTGACCAAAGGGTCATGGCCCAAAGTCATGTCAGTTGGCAAGGTGGACCCCATGTGGTGTGGATGGTAAAGAAGAAACTGAAAATTTCAAAAAGGGAGTTCTTTGAACTATGGTGTTTCTGTGAATGGGCCTGAGGAGACAAGGGTCAAGCCGAACCATTGTAGAAGCTCTCTCCTCTCGAGCCAGAGTTTGATGATGAAAGTCCATAGAGGAAACAGTAAGTGGGGTTTAATAATACCCTTCATGGGCATCATTCATTCCCTCCTTCCTTCGACCCACCCATCCGTCTGTCCATCCTTCTACCCATCCATCCACCACTCCATTCACCCATCCTTCCATGAAATCAATGGAGTCTGCTTTCTAAGAAGATTGCAGCCTCTGAACCACGTATTGGCCAAGAATACTGCATATGTGGCCAGAAGACCCGTCTTGCAATAAGGACAGACAAAACGCTCCTGAGAAGGGAGGATGAAGAGTCTTTGTCTCCCATCATTTGGACGTGTTATTAGGAAGGACCAGTTCCTAGAGGAGGATGCCCTGTTGGTCAGGTAGAAGATTGTTGGACCAGAAGAGGACCCTCAAGACATGGATGGGCCCCGTGGCTGCACCAGTGGACTCAGACTTGTCCGGACTGGGAGACGGGGGCGCGCAGGGCCAGGCTTGGATTCTGTCTGTGGCTCACTGCGTTGTGAAGAGCCACACCCTACTAGACAGCACCCAACAGCAATCTAAGTAACCTCAAGTCAGTTCAGCTCAGATGCTACCACCCAATGAGTCTGTGGCGAACTGCGGACAAATCTTTCCCTTTCCAGAGCTTTCTGGGGTTTGGAATTGTGGGTAGAAGATTGGAAACCACCTGCTTTGATCGCTTTGCAGGTTTGGCGGGGACTCCCCGGCTGGGCAGCACAGCTCTGAAGAGAAGCAGAGGCGAGGGGAGAAAGCCACACATTTTGCACTAACTGTAGCAGCCCTGGTGGCATCATGGGGCCGCTAACTGCAAGGTCAGTGGTTCAAAACCACCAGCTGGTCCTTGAGAGAAAGATGAAGTTTTCTACTCCTTTTTTTTAAAAGAAAGGCGGCAGACTGGGAAGCCCACAGGGGCAGATCTACCCTGTCCTGTAGGGTTGCTTTGAATCAATCAACTCGATGGCAGTGAGTTTGGTGTGGTGTTTGGTGCACCTGGCAAGCTTAGGGCACTTGGCCCATGGTCACCCATTAAGCGTTTGGTGCAGATGGCGGCCAGGCCGGGATTTCACATTCAGGGCAAATGTCAGCTCAGCCGGCCGAAAGCAGAAGGCAGCCTGTCCAGCAGCTAATGTGTTTGCTCAGTGCAGGAGCCTGTGGGCCCGGAGCCTGTGGGCGTCCCATCTGCTAATACCTCCCAGCTGCAGAGGGGCCCTGGAGGAGGGGCAGGGGCAGGAGCAGGGAAGAGGCCGATTTTCACGGGGAGTGGGTTCCCAGGGGTCAGCCAGAGGTTCCAGGGTCCTGACAAATGCTCCCCTCCCGCCAGGAAGGACACAACAGAGCCCTCCCTTCCCGAGCCCCTGGCGCCTGGGCTGAGAGGCGATTTCCTCTCTGGGCAGGCGGGGGCTCCACAGCCTGTGCCGGCTCCAGCAAGGCTCAAGGGCTTACGTCTCCCCCGGACTGAGAACATCCAATCTACTGTAAAGCCAATCCTTCCGGACATGTTCTAGACATTTCTGTTCCCTAAGCAGACTGCCAACTGCTCTGGACATTTGTCCTCCCAGCCCAGAAACACTGCAAGCCCTACAGGTAGCTTCCTTTGCTTTCCACGTTGCCACTGGGAACCTGAGAGATGATCAATTCAAGGACTAGAAGTGGGCCTCACTCATTCATCCTATCCATCCATCCATCCATCCATCCATCCATCCATCCATCCATCCACTCATTCATCTTCCACCTACCCATCCATTCTTCCACCTATCCATCCATCCTTCCTGTCATCCATCCACTCATTCATCTTCCACCTACCCATCCATTCTTCCACCTATCCATTCATCCTTCCATCCACTCATCCATCCTTCCTGTCATCCATCCATCCATCTTTCTACCCATCCATCCATCCCCCCACTCACCATTTATTCAACCAACACGAATTTGGCATCCAGTTTGCACTAGGTGACTGTCCCTTCCAAAGGAATGTCCAGATGCTGCTAGCCCATACCTGACAGAGCCCTCTCCCCTCCAGGCATCAGAAACTGCTGACGAAGCTGATGTGAGGGTAGGAGCTGTGCCCCCCTTGTACTCCAAGAGCCACCCCCAGGAGAGGATCTTCTACCCCGACTCCCAGAGGGTGAAGCAGGGAGTGGAGGATGCTTTTTGATCAGGCCCAGCCATACCTACGGCCTGGGCCCCCCACGCTCCCTGGCTGGACCCCCTCCTCTACAGTTCTGCCCCTTTGGGGAGCCCTAGGGGCTTCATCACGGGCCCTGCCACCATATGCTCCAGCCGAGACCGCAGGGTGCAGGGGAGGCGGGCATCCCGGATGACCTCTCGCACAGTGCCTCGGAAAGTCTTGCTGACAAAGCAGTAGAGGCCAAAGTTGATGGCTGTGTTGAGCATGGCGGCCATGTTGGCCACATCTAAGGCCAGGTGGACTCTCCAGTCACGGTGGACAGGGGCCACGTACAGGTGGTAGAGCATGACGAAGATCCGGGGCGCCCACAGGAGCGCAAAGAGCGTGGTGACCCCCAGGAGAAGAGCTATGCTCTTGCCCGTGGGGGGCCGCAGCGTGCCCCGTCCCCTCTGCCGGAGCCGGCAGACGATGGCCACGTTGGCGACCAGGAAGATCCCGCACGGGATGAAATAGACAGTGAGGCAGTGGGCCCACTTGAGGACCTTGTCCAGCGTGCTGGGAGGGTCCGCGTCCCTCCATACGTCCAGCCACCAGTAGAAAGGGATGCCGGTCAGCAGGGCGACACCAAGCACCGCAGCGATGGCTCGGCGGGTCCGGCCAGGGGACGAGGCAGCCCGGTGGTGCAGGGGCCGGCACAGGGCACTGTAGCGGTCCAGCGTGAACAGGACGGCCAGCCAGACGGAGGCGTGGTTGGCAGCGAACTCCAGGATGTTGGCCGTGCGCACCACGGCCTGGGGCACCTCTCGGGCCAGCACGGCCCCCTGCAGCAGGAAGCCCACAAACACGATGACCACCTGGGTGACGATGTCCGAAGCCGTGAGCGCCAGCAGGTAGTAGTAGGAGGGCTTCCGGGTCCTGGCGGCAAGGCGGGCCAGGGCCACTGCGGTCAGGAGGTTGACTGGTGG